GATAAAATGAAAATAGATGATAAGACAGGAGCTAAAAGAAGAAGATAAAAGTGAAAAGAATCAATGTTCAAGGTAGTTTATGATAATAATCGGTTGTAAAAGGATAGTCTTAAAATAGACTTTATAAAAAACGTTTTATGCTTATTTCCTATGAACTTAAAATTAGTTGACTGAAAAGAACATATATGGGAATTCTCTTCAGTAAAAAGACAAAAGAACATAAGGAGACGGAAGAAGAAAAAGAAGAACGAATTAAAAAAGAAGAGCATTGTGGAATTGGGAAGTTATTTAAAGAAAAAGAATTAATGGAATGTATTGAAACAATGAAAAAGACATTAGAAGAATGGAGTGGATATTCAAAAGCAACAATTATATTTGATAGTGATGAAATGGAATATAAAGAACTTGGAGACAAAGTAAAAGGACGATCTCATTTATATTTTATAAATATTTCAAATGATGGAACAGTATTTGGATATTATTGTAATGAGTGCATTAAAAAAATTGATCAAACAATAATTTTTCAAACAAATACAAATTTTATTTTTCGGTTAGTTAATCCAAAGGATCTTAATGATAGTCCTAGAAGATGGTATTTTGATTTACGACCAGAACACGAAGATTATGTTGATTGTATTAAAATCTATGAAAATGATGAACATACAGTTTATGAAGTAAATTTTTGTGGATTTAAAATAGCAAAGAAAGGTACAAATTTAAGTTATTATGATCATATTGAAGAATGTCATTCACCAAAAGGTATTGATAATGATAGGATTAATTATTATAAAGATGAATGGACAAAATCAAATGAATATTTTGATACTGAACGAGTCATAGTTGTTGAGATGCAATAATTTATTTCTTTCATTTTTGTATTAGTTTCAATTACATCAATGATAATTATTAAATAAATAAATAAAAAGTAAAAATTTAATTTAAAGAATGTTAGATATAACTTTTTCATGAAGTACTTTATCTTTGTATTTTAAAGTAATTTCATCTAAAATATTTTTAATTTCTTTTTTTGCTTTGGTAATATCTTCTTCATTCTTTCCTTCAATCAACAAATATAATTTACTTTGTCCTGGTAATAGAGTTTTTCCTTCTCCAATATAACTTCCTCTAGTTGTAATATTAACATTACAATTTTCCATAACACTTATTAATTTTTCTTTACTTGTTAATACTTGTCTTGCTTGAATAGAAAAGTCATTAATTTCAATTTTACATTGAAATCCATTATTTGTAATTTTTGTCATTCTTTTATTAATACGTTCAATCATTTGAAGTGCTTTTTGAACCATTTCTTGTTTTTCTTTTGGAATATTACTTTCTTTAATTTCTTCTTTCATTTTCTTTTCTTCAAATCGTTCTTTTAATTTTATCCCTCCTCCAATATCCTCTTCCATATATCCTCCAATTTTATTTTCCATTGTTGTGATTTCTTCTTTAATATCAAATTTAAATCCATTTCCTCCATATCCTTTCTTTCCTTCTTTTGTTTCTAGAAATAGTTTCTTTGTTTTCCATTCTTCATACATATCATTAAGTTCTTTACTAATACTTCCTCCTGAAAGAGTAAGTGCTTTAACAATATCTTCACTATATCTTTCTTCTTCTTTTGTTATAAATGTTATTGCCTTACCACGTTTTCCTGCTCTACCTGTTCTACCAACTCGATGAACATAATCTTCTAAATGATTAGGACAATCATAATTAATTACTAATTCTAATCCTTTAACATCTAATCCTCTTGCACATAATGAAGTAGTAATTAATATTGTTCTACCAATTCCACTCTTAAATTCTTGTATTGTATTTTGTCTATCAATTTGATCAATTCCTCCATGAAGTAATAAACAATTAATATTTCTTTCCATTAAATTTTGATATAATTCATCACAATTCTTTTGTGTTTCTGTAAAGATAATTATTCTTCCTCCTTTATTATTTTGTTCTAAAACAATGGAAATTAATCTCTCTATCTTTTTCTTTGTTTCAATAACTTCTACAATTTGTTCTATTGTATTTGATACTTGTGATCTTCCTCCACATATAATTTCAATTGGTTTTTTTAAAAATTCTCGTGCATGTTGTTCTACTGAAATTGGAAATGTAGCTGAAAACATAACAATTTGTTTGTCAGGTCTAATTCCTTCAATAATCCTTTTAATTTGAGGTCCAAACCCCATATCAAACATTCTATCTGCTTCATCTAAAACTACAAATGTAACTCTTCTTAAATTTGTAATTCTCCCATTATTAGTAACTAAAATATCAATCATTCTTCCTGGTGTACAAACAACAATTTCTGTTCCTCGTTTTAATGCTCCTATTTGGTTTGAAATTCCTGTCCCTCCAAATACTGCAACACTTCTAATATTTAAATATTTCCCAAATTTATTAATTTCTGTATTAATTTGTTCTGCTAATTCTCTAATTGGAGCAAATACAATTCCAATTGGTCCTTCCCCTTTAGAAAGAGGTCTTTGTGCCATGACATCTAATTGGTTAATTTTTTATTTCTTTTTATTATTCTTTCTTATTTTCTTTTCTTTTCAAATTCTTCTATGTTTTTGAATATCTTTCTCAAAAATTATACGTCTTTTATATACAAACAAAAACAAACGTTTTATTAATGGTATTGTATATGCTAATGTTTTTCCTGATCCTGTTTTTGCACATACTATTGCATCATATCCTGACATTATCACAGGAATTGCTTGTCGTTGAACTGGACTTGGTTTTTCATATTTTAATGCTTTAATAACATCCATTCTATTTTATTATTTCTTTTTAATTCATTAAAAATATTCTAAACAAACGTAATTGGATTTATTCCACATTCTGACCATGTTCTAATTGGCTTTGGACAATTTTTACCTTTAACAATACAACCTTCTAACTCTACTCTTCTAATTTCTTTAACTTCTTCTTTTGTTAATTTCTTAATGTCTGGTACTTCTACATATAATGCTTTATGAATTGGCTCATATTGAATATTCTTATGGTCAACATCAAGTAATTCCAATTTCTTTTTCTTAATTTGTGCTAATTCATCTTTGTAATCTGCTAAATCCTCACTGTCTCGAGCTTCTTCTTTTTTTCCTTCATTTTCTTCTTTCTCTTCTTTCTCTATTTCTTTGATTTCATTTCCTTTTAACTCTTTCAATCGACCCATTGCTTCATTGACTTGTTGTGCACTTTCTTCTTCCATTTGATTCATGAATGTATCAAAATCATCAACACTCTCGTCCATTTTCTCTTTTTTCTAGTTTCTCCTTTATAATTTTATTATTTGTTTTTATAAAAAGCAATTTTGAAATAAAAAGTCATGTTTCTTGATAAATAAAAATTGTTGACGCCATCACATCTTTGAAAAAACCTACATCAAGACAACGCACAACATAACATATTATGCAAATATGTGAATAAAATACTTCTTAATAGTAAAGAGAAGGGTGTTGTGAATGATTGTTATAAATGAAGATAAAGAAGGTAGATAATTAAGAAGATATGATTGAAAAGGAATATTCGTGAACTGGAATATACAAGATGAATGGTACGAAGTATATGAAATAGAATATATAACGAGTAAAATGAAAATACTTCAAATGAATTAATCTAATTTGAAATATGAAAAAAGAAGAATAAAACACAAAAGAGTTGTATGATGAAAAGAAACAAAATAAAAAAAGATAAGAATAAGTAGATACGAATAAATATTCATACATTATTCTATTCTTTATTCATAAGAAAGAAGTTGGTGAAGTAAAAAA